GCAATACTCTCCAACCAATCACAGATAGAATGGAGGCCCGTTTACATTTTATTTATTTAGCAGATGCTGTTCTACAAACAAACCTACAGTACCAGTCAAAAGTCTGGACACACCTGCTTTTAATGTATTTGTCTCTAGCTGTGTCTCCTTGTGTCCGTCAAAGCTATGGATTCCCCATTAGCAATGACACCCTTCATCACACTACTGACCCACTCTCCCTCACTATCCAGTCTCATTCCTCATCTTCTAACAGTCCCAGCATGCACTGGTCCTCGCAGACCCCTTACTCTGCACGTGCAACTAGGGGCGTGTGATTTGACAATATCAAAATGAACAACTAAAACATCTCCACAATCAGGCTTTGCGGAGAGATTGTTAGTATCGTGCTACAGTTAGGGTTACCACCTAATCCAAGTCAGAAAGCACACTTTGAGTTAGGACAGGATTTGAAGACTTCCATTTCAATGAAAAGGACTTGGATTTCACTGAAGCACCAAGTTCTTGCAGTGTACTGAATGGTCAGTTTTCTATAATCATGCATGCTCACCCAACCTGCCCACGCCTGGTCTCCTCAGTGTCAGCACTTCTGTCTCCATGTCCCCATGCACTCTACAGTCAAAAGTTAACTAGAGAGCCACACCAAAAATACCATCTGAGTATTGGGACCGCCACACATGTTGGCTGCCTTCGCCATATTGTGTCTCATTTTCATTGCATATTTTCCTCCTTACGCCAGTGATCTAAGGATCTATGGCAGACACTACTCCCAATGAGACACCCCCACCTGCACTCGATGATGGGGGTTCTGTTATATTTTGTGTACTATATTCATGTCTTCGGTCGTACTGAATTTAATAACGCAGACACCGCATTCTTTACAAAACGCCACTCATTACTTCTTCTTCTGAGTCACCTTAAACATGTTCCCCCACACTTTACCTGTTCAACATATGGTTCCTCTTAAAGTAACATCATACAATTCAGTACATGACAGGTTCCTCTGCTTGCCAAGTCTGGGTTCTCCTCAAAAACAGATGCCGGCCTTGGGGACATATGGAGTACCTTGCTGACTGGGAGGTGTATGGCCCGGAGGAGTGGTGGTGTCTTTTAACCAGAAAGCCTGCACTTAAACATGCTCAGAGCAGGTTAGCCGTGTACTGTAGCAATACACCCAGTTTAAAAGCGAACTACGATTCGTAATACCCAGGACTCGGGAGTAATGGTGCGTTCCATTTGTCTTCGGAAGCCTCAAGAAACCTCGCTAACGTAGTAAACCTTTGTAATGCACCCCTCAGGGCTGTGCCTGGTGATTTGGTTCTGTTTTATAACTTGATTAAAGGTGCCATAGAATGAAGATATGACTTTATTTCGGAATAGCTGAATCTCAAACACTGTTGTTCCCTCTTTCAAATATAATTCCTTGAATATGTAAAAGAAGGAAGTGAAACGGATTGTTTCGAAATTCCTACAGTTACACTGTTAGTCTTAACCACGTGGCTTTTCTCCAAACATGTCGGTTTTGATTGTGACCAAATAATTCTATGTTGGACTCGTCTGTCCAGAGAATAGTCTTCCAGAAGGCCTCTGGTTTGTCCAAGTGCTCTCTGGGCAAAGTTGAAACGGGCAGCTTTGTTCTTTTTTGAGAGCAGAGGCTTCCTTCTAGCAACCCTCCCATGGATGTCATGGCTTTTCAATTTTAGTCTGATTGTAGACGCATGCACATTTGTCCCAGATGCTGCCAGAGAGGTCTGCAACTCTCTAGAGGTGATGTGTGGGTTGGCCTTTACTTGATTTATTGTTTTTCTGGTGCTTCTGGGTGATATTTTTTATGGGCGTCCACTTCTAGGCAAAGTTACTGTCATGTTGAAGGCCCTCCATTTGTAAATTATCTGTCTTACAGTGGAGGGATGGACCTGGAATCTTTTGGAGATGGTCTTATAGCCCTCCCCAGACTGATGGGCTGTCACTGCCCTTTTCTTCATGTCCTCGGATATCTCCTATGCTCTTGGCATTGTTGATTTGTATGGGAACACAGTGGTTTGGTTGGTTTCCTCTCTCTTTTAATTAGTGCAGGCCAAACCCTTTCCCAAGGATGTCTCATTTCATTGGTCTGCTTAAATGATTAATTAAGCACCCAAATGTGTTTCACCTGAGTCTGTTACCTGCTTGACTTTTGCACATACACTAATTCCATGTTTCATGTAGTTTTTGGGCTACTTAAACAAGTCCCACTAAACAAGTACATGCAATTCTCTGAGCTATTAGTTAAGTTCTCCCCAGGCGAGCTCGATGGGCCGAATGGCCTCCTCTCGTTTGTATAGTTCTTATGTTCTTAATTGATAAACATATATCTGACATTTCATACATAAAAACTGATGATAAAATAAGAAAATCACAGTAAAACAACAGAAACATCTAAACTGCTCAAAAGATTCACATACTTTCAAGCAGCACTGTATGTATACCTTTTTTCAATAATTTTATTTGACATTTTATTTATTTTTGCATTCAAGAAAGTGTTTTCTTTAAAAAAAAACAAAACAAATATGTACATAAATGCATTAAAAGAGTTTAGTTCTTTTGTCAGTTGTTGTATGGAGTTCAATCATTAAAAATGTTCCTAAAAAGGAAACACATGAGTTGTTCATTTTAAGAGACCTGTCTATTTTTTTTCTTTTTTGAATAGTTACTATTGGTCTTTAATAAAACAAAAGTATTTCTTATCCGAATACTCAATTACTAAAATAATCGATAGCTGCAGCCCTAATTCACAGACACACTATGAGGAAAAGGAAAGAGACACTTTTTTGATGGTAAAAGAAGAGTAAGTAGGAAATGTTATTGTTAAAAGCTACAGAACATTACTCTAGAAGTATAGGTGCAGTTTTGCAAACTTAATGTGTATGAAGGAAAGTGGTGGTCAGCAGAAGGCTGGAGAGGCATAGGAGCAGGAAGATGGCAGGATGAGGACAGCGCCCAGGCAACAGGGAGATGGCAGGATCAGGACAGTGAGCAAGCAGCAGGAAGATGGCATGACTGTGTGTTGCATACATGTTAGTAAACACCCCTCGTGCATCTTGCACTCTTAACATTGATCATGGTGGCGAATATTCGTGTTGATGCAGTAGCGGACCATAATGGTCATACTGTAGAAGTGTTATGAAGGCAGTACTCCCCAATTATGGAGGGGTAATTCGCACTCTGATTCTATGGCACATTTAAGCCACCTACCATTTCATGCTGTCTCCTCGCTGGACCCGTGCACGTCATGACACAGCTAAAATGTTTTGTCAATAGTTTCATAAATAAAATTCATAAATTAAATATGTAGTGAAAATGAAAGTGCCAAATCTTCAGGTAAGGATGTGTCCCAATAGCCATGTCTCAAAACCCGCTAAAGATAATGACTTAAATTTTTTGTGTATAGTATGAAAATATAACATTCTGACTCATGAAATCTAACCTGGGCCAATTATCAAATGATCATTTATTTATTTATTTATTTTAACTTTTGTCCTGTCTGGCAGCTTTAGCAAGCAGAATCATGGTCTGAATGCACTGCTGTGCCAAACATGTTTGCTTTACCATGAGGGGCTCTATAAACTCTGTATAGGCCCCTCATGCTGATCGATTTATTTTTACTTTGTTTATTTAATTTTTAGCACGTAAAATACTGCAGTGGCTGAGCTGGCCAAAGAGGAGTGGCAGATTAGGAGGGGGAAGTAAAAGAAATGAAAGAAAAGAACAAAAAAAAAGAGAAAAAACGATATGAGTAAAGTAGAAAACATAATTCACAATCTCCAATTGCTGCACCTGTAAAGGAAAGGGAAGAAAAAGAAAAGGTAAAAGATCAACAGCATCTGAAAGAATTGCAAAAATTGATAAATTCATGAACACAAACAAAAATATAGAATAAAGAAAGTAACACAGTTATACAAACATACAAAATTGTGTGTGCATGGAGGAGTGCGTGCAAGTGTATGTACATGCATGCTCAATTGTGTAGGCGAGACGTGCGGGCTTCTGTGCGTGTGTTTTCAACATGGAACGTACTAAATAGCGAGGGTGGGAGGCCACAACCATACCCATAAGAGCCAGAGGTCGGCAGAGACAGGCCCAGGACAACCGCAGCCCCCAAAGAGCACAGAAGAGCCGGGGACCCATGTCCCAATGACAGCTGCGCCCCCACTACAGCTGGGGGAGGAGGGAGGTCCCAGACGCAGCCCCTGCAGCCAAAAGGGCATGAGCCCCAGAGAACCGGGGGCAACAGGCAGCTGCTCCTGTATGAGCCAAGGCCAGGGTCCCTAGGACCCCAATTTTTACCTACCCTTGTCTACTAATACTCCGCAACCTAGCTGTATGGAAAGATGTTAGGTGGGTCATTTAAAAATTAATTAAAAAAAAATTATGTAAAACTAAAAACAAAACTGAAAAAATAGATGATTACAAAAATAGACGATTGTAAATAGATGGATGGAGTTCTCTTGAACCGGGGGTGAGAGGTGATTATGATCAAAGTTGTCGACGGTGGGGAAGGGGAGTGGGTGGTGATGGTAACTTGTCGATCGTCATTTGTTTGATTTCGTGGAATGACAACCCATGATATTTGCGTCTCACATCCGTGAGATTGCAGAGTAGGCTCAAAAACGCAACAGCAAGGGATGCTACCTGGGAAAAATGTCACTGATATTCTATGGATTCCAATGACTATGTTTAATACATGTTAAAGTTTCTTAAAAGATTAGTACATTCAGCCAGTAAGACATAGTCATAGGAATTTTGACCAAAATTACAATATTTCGGAATATTTTTAGACTATTGTAATGTGATATTTCAATTCATCAAGCCAATGCAATATAAAACCGATGGGAGAATTCTGTATTATTTCGTATAATCTGTTTTAATGCATGTTTTAGATGTGTAACTTCGTATGCCTTTGAAGTGTCAGGAATATTTCCTTCCCGTTTTAGGGAGTGGCATCATCCTGCGTGTAGCCTACGTGGATGGATTTAAAAAGCAGTGAGATTGTGGAAGCTTATTCTTCCGATGCCCCTTCCGCTCTCCGTGACATCACATGGGACAAAGAGCCCCACGCTTCACCGCAGGGCGGTTCATTTTGCTGAGTCGTGAGAGTTAGAGATTGTCTAGAAGAGAAGCATATCTCTTTAAAAGTATGAAAATGAACAGAATTTAAGAACTGCATCTGCATCTGCACATCCAGAAGGATAATGATTTCCGCAATGCTAAATCTGAAATTATTTAATCTCTGAATACAACCTCCGTCTAACTGGTGGTTTGCGGGTGGAGGAAAAGTCTGTTTTCCTGGCACGGTAAGTATACATATATAAGTTTATATTTAAAATAAAAGAAGTGATAGTTTTCTCCGCGAAACTGGAAGATTGGGGCCTTAAGCTGGTAAAACGAAAGTGTTGCTATAAAACGGGACATTCCTCGGTATCGCCTTTGTAAAGTATAACGGGACCGGCCGGGTAACGAAATTACAATCTAAGCTAACTGAAAATAAGGTGTAACGGAAAATACAGCAGTATGATCTTAAGATCCGCTCGGGAAGACTTTATTTATATACTTTTTGACCGTTTATCACGAAAATGTTCGCTGAAGTTTTAAATATTAGCTAGTAAAATATCACATTATACAGTATATCAAACTGCAATGCAAGGACTATTAACGCCCAGCTGTTCAAGTGGATTAGGTTTGCGGACAAAAATAAATAGGTATACATGCTCTGAATAAAAGGCGTCGGCTATGCTCCTGGCTAATGTAGCTATTTAGGACTGACTCGGTAAGAGAAGCAGAAGCTGGGGTCAGCAGGAATGGCAGGATTCGTAGCACGAACCAAGGGAGAGACGGCACATTTATTACTATTGTGTCTATATGCAAGCAGGCATTCATATAAAAGTTTTCAAGTAAAAGTGAGAATGGGTGTTCTGTGAATCTCTCCACTCATCAGTTATGTCTCATGAATGAAAGATGTTAGCGCGGTGCTTGCAACATCCTTTTTCTTTAGGGCGTATCAGCCATAAGTCAAGTGTAAGGATCGGCTGTCGTTCTCTTTCATTCACGCAACCATGTTTTGACAGTTCTTTTGTGTACATTTTCTTGCATTAATTGTTTGTTTCTCCCTTGACATATACAGACCTGTAGTTAGACTGTTGGTTTGAGATCACCTGTTCATATGGGATTGAGTTGGCCTCATGAAAATTTCTCAGGGTGATGTTATGTGATAAGTGTGTGTGTGTGTGTGTGTGTGCGTGTGTGATTGAGTTACTTTGTTTTTCCCAGCAAGGGTTTCCTAGTATGTACTAATCTTTGTACTAACCTTTGATAAAGATCATTATTAACAAACAAAATGGTTAAGGTTTGTTTAAAACTTGATCAGTAGATGCTACACATCTTTCAAAATCATAGAAAATTAAGCTGTTTGAATGCTTTTTGTGTATGTTTGGTTTATCTTTAATGCCTGATCGCAAAACCATGTCCATCACTGCCTTTAAAAGCTGTGGTCTGTAAAACAACATCATCATGTAAAATAAGGTTTAAAATGGGTTTGTAATTGCTTTGTAGTTTTAGTTGAGATTAATATGTTTTGTTGCAGTGTTAGAGCTTTTTAAAGAACCACTTTTCTTTTGTGGTTGATTACTAGCTGCTACAAAAATAGACTGTTTTAACACTGACATTTGACAGACCAGTAATATAACAATGAATAAATTAGAAGTAAATAACTATCGTGTTGATTTACAATTTTAGAGTCAGATGCAAGAAGTTGTATGATAACCTAGTGTCTGTAATATTGGTGCCATATTGATGTCCTAATTGCCTCTTTGAAATTTAACAGGTCTGTGAGCTTGGGAAGAATCACTGGGAAGGAATCAGAATTTCAAGGTAAACAAAATAATGTTATTCTTAATTCAAATTTTTATGAATGTCAAAGTGCAGGGGTAGTATTACTGTTTTTTTTTCCCCCATTGTTGTAGTTGCTTAGAGATACGTTAATTTAACTTGAAGGTAACACTTAAGGCCATGTTTTTAGTAAATTCATATCAAATAGTTATGTGCACACAAAACATAAAAATTATCAAAAGACGACATATAGCCATGTGTATTATGCATTATGAATGCTTTACGAAGTTTTCATCTATAATGCACATGCGCCATGTACTCATGATGTGATATCATGCAGCCCTATTAATGAACCTTTCCTTGTCATTCTTTGTTTGTTGTGAAGGTCAGAAGATAGATACTGACGCAGATCAGCTTCGGGTAAAGGTTCCCGGGGGGCAGAGCCGAAGACTGTGGTCGGTAATCCCAGCAGGGGTCGGGCGATCGGCATCGGTTCCAGGGGGGTTGAGGCAAAAGTCGAGGTCTGTGTTCCAGGCAAGGGTCTTCAGGTAAGGATGTGTCACGATCGGTGTCAGTACTGAGAGGGATGGGTGGAACACGGAATCTAGGAGGCGAAGCAGGAGTCGGAACATAGGTAACAGGACACAGGGAAAATTGCTCAAACTCAGGGCACACCATGAAGATCTCGCGTAGATCAACAAACCGGGTCACCAGAAATAGAGAACTGAACAAGAGAAACAGCTGGGATAGGTATGTCTTAAGAACATAAGAACATAAGAACTATACAAACGAGAGGAGGCTATTCGGTCCATCAAGCTCGCTTGGGGAGAACTTAACTAATAGCTCAGAGTTGTTAAAATCTTATCTAGCTCTGATTTAAAGGAACCCAAGGATTCAGCTTGCACTACGT